TTAGGGGTCACCCTTGATGTTGTACATTCTATGGGTTTTGATAAATGCATAATGACATGTAGCCACCACTACAGTATCATACATAATAATTTCATTGCCCTAAAAATCCCCTGTGCTCCATCTACTCATTCCTCCTCCCTCCCTCTCCCCAAACCCCTGGAAACCACGATCTTTTTATTGTTTATGTAGCTTTGCCTTTTCCAGAATGTCACTTGGTTGGAATCATATAGTTTGTAACCTTTTCAGACTGGCTTCTTTCATTTAGTAAAATGTCTTTTAAGTTTCTTCCATGTCTTTCATGGCTTAATAGCTCATTTCTTTTCTTTTTTTTTTTAACTGCACATATATTTTAAAATTTACATATATGTACTCTTCATTGTTTCTAAGAACATTTAGAACTTTAGCTTTTTAAACTTACATAGTTACCAAAGGAATAAAGCCAATCACAAAATAAGAATTCAAAAAGATACATACACTCCACTATTAACAGCAACATTGTTTACAATTGCCAAGATATGGAAGCATCCTAAGTGCACATCAATAGTTGAATGATGATGCAGCATATATATATATATGTAATGGAATACAGCTCACTCATAAGAAAGGAGGATATTTTGCCATTTGTGGCCCTTCATTCACTTTTCTTTTTTCACTTCAAAAACCAGAATTTTATAATTGGCATAAACATTTCCATTGCATCTAAAACAACAAAATACCTAGAAATAAACTTAACCAACGAGGTTACCTATATTCCAAAAACCAAAATAACTCAAAGAAATGGAAAGATTTCTTGTGCTCTTGGACTGGAACAATCAACACTATCAAAATGGCCACACTACCCAAAGCAATTCACAAATCCAACACAACCCCTGTCAAAATACTCATGACATTCCTCACAGAACTAGAACAAACAATTCCAGAATTTATAAAGAACCACAAAAGACCCCAAAGAGCCAAAGCAATCTTTTGTAGGTCTTTTCTTTCTTTCTTTCTTTCTTTCTCTTTCTTCTTTTTGTTCTCTTTTCTTATGGTTTGATGACTAGAGAAGGTCCTTTAACATTTGTTGTAAAGCTGGCTTGGTGGTGCTGAAATCTTTTGGCTTTTGTTTATCCGTAAAGCTTTTGATTTCTCCATCAAGTCTGAATGAGAGCCTTGCTGGATAGAGTATTCTTGGTTGTAAATTTCCCCCTTTTAACACTTTAAATATATCGTGCCACTCCCTTCTGGCCTGTAGAGTTTCTGCTGAAAAATCAGCTGATAATCTTATGGGATTCCCTTGTATTGTTTGTTATTTGTTGTCTTTTTCT